TGCCTGCCGAGCTGCAAACTTTTCCTGCCCAAAGGAGATTTAATTTACATTGTTAATTTTTCCGCTCCCTAATACTGCAACTGAAACACAAAGCTCGTAAGACAATTTTATTTTTCTCTTCAACTGACGCTGCTGCTCATCATTTTATATTTCTCCCACTAGAACTTTCATTTTTAACCCCAAACACACTGTCCAAATAATCTCATATGCTAAGCAATTAAGTCCATTTTCTATTACAGATTTCAATTGAATTCCCACAATCAGAACTATATTCAAACGTAAAACTTCATCAGTATTTATGGCTTGAAATTTCTTGATTCTCATAAAAAACAGAATTTCTATCTCATCATGAAATGCAAAAAACTGCCTCTTGAACTGATGAATATTTTCTCTTTGATTGGATGAGTGAAACATCTTTACGTCCTAGACGAGTATCTTCTATTATTTTGAAATACTTAACAAATGCATCAGGTACACGAAATGCTTCACAACAAATTTCTTCTTGATACGAATATGAAGTCTGCAATCGTGCATCACATGTATCGAATCTTCTCATAATTCTTCCAACCATTTCAACATTCAATAAACACGTGGTGTGCCATAATGCCCCAATATCCAGGCAACACAGTGACAGATGTATGGAACAAAGTATGCGACACTGCATACAGCTGCATCATACTTGCTGACCTCCTCCACCAACAGAGAGACTGTAACCGACAATTCATTGGAGTTCCTGCCTCCCGTTGCTAGGAGACTGGGATACTAACCTTCGAGGAAGATGATTTTCGGCTTTTTCCTTTGAAGTACTTGAACTTAATTCACGTTTGCTGTCTGCAGTGCTGGGGCTTGAAACTGATTTGGATGTGTTATTAGCTTTCGGAGGAGTAACTTCAACAGTTTGCCTAGCCAAGGTTTTCCTTTCTCCACGGTCTTTGACTTCTCGTACTGTTTGCTCCTTAATTTTCTCTGTATGTTTCTCTGAAGATCTTTCTTTCTCAGGTTTAATTTCTCCATTGACTTGTTTTGAAGTAGGAACAATAGCAGGAGATGGGTTAGGTTCTTGTTTAACAGTTATTTCTTGACTCATAGAAGCCTTGTCACCAACTTGGTGAAAATCATTTTCTCTAATCATAGTAGCAGACTTAGCTTTAAGTTGACCACTATAACTTGTAGCAAGAATGAAGAGATCTTGTCTTTTGTTCTTTTCTTCTTCTCGCACCTTTTCTATTTTTCTTTCTATAATTTGCCGTAACTTAGCTAAAACTGGAAAATATGGCAGTATTTTGTTGAGAATGATAAGTGAATGTCTTATTTGCACGTAATCTTTTGAGTCCAAACAAACTACCATGGCTAATGTAATTTTGTAGTGCCATTTGTGGCAAACATGTCCGTAATTTTCATAACCAACATGATCATTGGCTTCAGAAAACTGATTACTCACACGAAATTTTGTCACAAAGCCAGGATAATTAGCACATTCCTTTTCAAAAGTTGATTTCTCTGAATGTCACCGCATCACAGTCTCTAACATAGCACATAGAAATCGGCCATACCTATTTGCTTCATTCTCTGTGCAAGATGTAACAGAATAGGTGATGTCACAAAACAATCTGTCATAACAAAGCAGTGTTGAAAAATTTGCTGTCTTAAGGCTGTGAATAGTATGCACAAATTTTGCACAATAAACAGCATCCATTGCAGTAAAAATGCATCGTGGAAACAAACACAACTGCAAAAACTGTGTAATAGTTTAATTTTTTGCAGCCTTTGCAGATCTGGATAAAAACCACGAATCCTTTTCTAGCTTTAGGCGAGCCATAACTTTTTCCACATGCTCTTGTTTTTTCTTTTCATCATGAAGTTTCTCCATTACTGCTTGAAATCTCTCTTGTTCTTTCTTTCCTTTGCTAGCAGCCATGTCTTTTGCATCCAAAGCTTGGGCTGCAAGAGCCTTTATTTTATTAATTTCCCTCTAATAACTGTCAGCTGGCACAAACAAATCATACATGGTCAAAGACCAGAATGTAACAAGAATCTGTGGAGAAATACCTTCCCACATTTTCATCGGATGTACAGGCCGAACAGAGGCAACAATAGGGCTCATCACTTCAATGGCAGCTTCACAATATAACTGATGTTTAGCAGATGGTGAAAGTTTTTTATTATTGGGATCGGCTTTTCGCACGGATTTAAATTTGTTTATAGCATGAGTAAACATAGGACGAGCTAAGAAGAATGCAACATCTGCATGCATGTGATAGTCAGCCAGCATACTATGAATTGTTGGCAATTTTGTAACATATTCTTCCATGGATAATGTTGACCCCAAGAATGTTCCAAACTGTACCAATGTATCTTGACACTGATCGTAAAGTTTCCCAACTAGCTTCAAATGGTTCTGGTCAGTTTCTTTGTAAACAACACAGTATCGTTGTTGGGCCATGAGTAAACACAATGCTACTGCCAAATTTGACTCAGCAAGAGCTTCTTTCAGTCGCTGTGAAGACTTCTTGGTGTTGCGTACTTGACTACAGTAACCAGCTTCTCCCTTGAGCAATTCACCACCTGCCATGGCATCCAACTGTTCTGCAGTCATCTCTTCTGCAGCTTCAATACCTGCCATTTTCTGCGCAATTTCTTTCAGTATGAGTAAATCCACACATTTCTGAGCTTTTAATTGATTAGCAACATATTGTAACAATCCAGTTAATTCAATATTATATTTCTTGAAAATTGCTCCACAAAAGGATGCCAGGCTTTGCAACCATGGAGATAAAGATGTTCCATCATTTTGCAAACGATCACGTTCCACGCTAGCAAGAGATTCTACCAAGCAAAACCGTAGTAAGATAGACTGGTCAAATATTATAGGAGTGCCTCATCCGAGTACGAACCCGATGGCCGAAGTTGGTTAGATAATGTGTGTTGTCTCAGTGCTTCGGAGACAATGTCGGCTCGTTCGAGCCTCGCTCTGGGATAGTTATTTGTCACAATTCTATGTTGCCGAACAAAGCAATTGAAAAAAAAGAACTTCTATTAACAAATATAATCAATTAAGATAACTAAAATTCATGTATGTGATTTTCAAACTTGCAACTTTTCACCCTTGCCTTTTCTCATTTTCTCAGCTCGGTAATGCTAGAACTGAAACAGTTGTCTTTGAGTAATAAGGAAACGTATAGGTGGTACCTTCTGGATGGCCGAGGCTGTGAAGTGGCATGTTCGGGTTTATCACTTGAAACCAAGAGGTCACAGGTTCGAGTTCCACACGGTTATTTTAATGATAACGTTGTAAAAACTATTGGAGATTCGGGAAACTTTATTGACAACCATTTGAAGCATTTCTACCCACAAATACAATCATTACAAACACAAATAAACCGGACGTGCTTTTGCAATTTATAACTTTCGGACTTCTTTTTCAACTTTCTTTTGCGATTTGTAAAACATATGTCACATCAAATCAATTGTTGAGTTCTGCGCATCGGAGTGAACTGATTTAAGTAAAATAATGAATCTATCGACATGAAATTTAAATACATTATGAACCCTAGCCATGTGACCAACTTCTATATCACTATAGAAATTATTACTTTCTCGCCTAACGAGTTCTTTGTAAAAAGAGAAAGTTACGCAAGCATGCATCAGAAAATATACTTCATCGTTGGGTTCTGGTAATGGAAAAGCAAATAAATCCTGTTGGTAAATTTAAAAAAATTTCGAACTCGTAGTGTAGACAGAATCCATTTTTTGTTGATTTTTGATAACGAAAAATCGATTGACAGCAAAATGTCTGTAATTAACGCTAGCGTCTAAACCCTTCAGCTTATGTCCTTCAAAATTGATACACCCTGACAGATCTTAACACACTGGAGGTTTGGGGAGTTTCTAACGAATATTTTGAGTGTTCAAGGTTGTTTTTTTTTCTTCACATAAATCGGGCATTTACCTTTTTATACCTTTGTCAGAGTTCCAACCATGTGGCGCTTTTGCGGCGTAGTGGTATAAGTGCCGGCACGTTAACTCTGAGGATCTGAATTCGACTCTCGGAGCGGAAAAATAATTAGCCGTTTGACAACACTTTTGCTGGTTATGTAGTGGTGTAATGCTGCGGAGATTTTAGAAACAATGCGAGAAAGCATGTGCTTCACAGCACCACAAATTTTTGTTATGTTGTTGTTAGCTAGAAGTGGCGGCCCAGTAAAAAATTGTTATTAATAAATACATTGCATCAGCATTGGCGGTGACAATGAGTTCTTGAAAGACATTTTTATTAAATTTGGAAATAAGGACACATTACATTTAAAGAATCCTTCAAGATGATACCCGTTTCCTGTAGAGAAGAGGTTTTGCGTACTCACGATCATACTAAATTTCTTAAACAACCCATAATTTCACCTTGTTAATTAGAAATATTGATTGTCAAGACCATTTGTAAAATTAGAAACCGGATCAACACTTGTATAAGGATTATTATTAGTTATAAGATAATATAGAGGAAATAGGGGATGCGTTTTAGCGGCAAGCCCAACGTGGGGCAAATTATTATTATTCCAAGGATTAATAATAACACAAGATTGAACACCTACAGTAGGTCTCGTTTCATAATGTACAGATTTCTAAATTCTGTGGTTAAGAGTTTGAATTTTTGGTCGGCATCGTAAAAACAATTGATTAATATTCATGCATAGAGCCTATCTGTTTAAGGCAAAGGCACACCATTCCAAAACATGCTTGTCCCCTCTTTCTGAGTTCAGCTAAGTAAAAGGAGGCTTCAGCTGACATAAAAAACCTGCCTTCTGGCAATTCAAACAACGACCCCATTGGTCATAGATGGTTTAAGTAGTAAAATTGCAAAAGTGTGTTAAAAAAATTATCACAGAACTTAATTCTTCTTTATACAATATAAAAACTTTGTTTTCATGGCTCATTGTGGATCTTTTAAAATTGTGTATTTTCAAAAAAATATGTAATACTTCTAAATATTATACACAGTTTAGAAATATTGCAATTAGGTTTATTGTTATCTAATTGACTATATTTTAATTTTAAACAATGAAAGTAATCACTCCAACGGCAATACCTTATAGACCGAGAAAACTCGTAATAGCAGAGAAATGACAAAACTACGCAACACAAAGGAGAGAAATAGAAATAGATTACTGGGAGAACATCCTCTTCTAAAGACTTTACACAAAGAATGTCTGTACGGACTGCCTTCTTTACTGGGATGCAAGTATTCATTGTTTGGATTATTTCTCCAACTTTTATAGAAAAATAAATTTGTATATACCAAGGAAATGCATTACTACAACAAATGCTCTTTGCAAAATTACTTACCCTTTCTGAAGTACTTTTTGTATAAATAAATCTAAATTCTGAATTTAATTTCTCATTTTTCCCTTACTTTATGGTATTTATTTTGTTAATAAATTTTACTTGAAAGTTGATTTTGGAGTTGCAAGAGAATAATTTAACACTCAATACCGTTCTATTACAAAACTCCATACATCATATTCACAATTTTAAAGTCATTATTGCAAAGCAAATATTTGTAGTGTGGACTATCTAGAGCCCAAAAGAGATACAATTTGAGACCAATCTTATAATTATATTCACAATAATTCTATTACCTTCAATAGCAAAAAAGGTTAATTGGAATTTGTACCAAATATATATACACACACACAGGAACTCACCTAATGAAAAACTGAATGAACCAAAGAGGGAGAAGTAAACACACAGGAGAATAAATAAATAACACCAGTATGATTTAATTGGTTTACATAATAATGTACAAAATGTACTCTGATGCACATGAATAATAATAAAGATTATTTATGATTACCATTTTCTAAATACATAAAAGCTTGTGATAATTAAAAAACGGAAACTAGAGTTTATACAAATATCAACAAAATTGAAACAAACCCAACCAGATCACAACTCAAACAAGAAATTAAAAATAAAAACGGAACAAAATGAATAACCAAATCTTCAGTGTTTTCAAATCGAAAAATTGATTCTTAAATTTCAAGATACAAAGTCGGGCGAAAATAAACTGTCAGTGATAACTTCGGGTGGTCATAATTAAGTTTTCCGCACTAAACAGATTGCGGGCAGGAAATAGTCGTACGAATACCAATATCGATTGGAATATGATAAGAGTTAGATAATGACCACAATACTTTCATGATTCATTGGTTAAATTGTAGGTGAAGCGCTTAGAAAAGTTACCTTTTCCTGCGCAGGTGCTAGAAGTGTCATGGTGAGCGATACGCTTCCATCTTACGCTGCTGCTGGGGAGCCAGTGTTAAGCTTCCCTCAGGCTTCCATTTCACTACGAATTCAGTATCGGCAACGTTTGATCTTCGAGCACGATTGCGTTACAGCAATCACGTGGTATCGTGAGATCGTTGCCTTAAGCCACGCTTCCGGACAGACTGTCACTTGCTCTACGCCTGTCCAGTTAAGCCCTATTCAAGGTGGTTTTTCTACGCAACAGATCTACAATACCATACTCGACCAAATGATGTTATAGTTCACGTGTGGGCATTATTACTGAAACATGCTTTGCCTGTCATCTAGGAGCGAATGCTACGGAAGCAACAGTTTTTAAACGCACGATATCGTCCAGTTCAATATCGCTTTATTAACATGTTTCATGACAATCGAATTGTTGGCCCATCGTTTTCAAATGCTTGAAGGCCACGGCCTTCGTTTTCTTTGGTGGTGAAATATCTTGAAAGAGTTTATTAGGGACAAGTTTACACATGTACCGACACACTGAGAATTATATTATGAGTGTCAAGCCAGCGGCAATAGGAGTGGTTCAGCCAGCGGCGCCCAGAGCCCTGAAGCAACCGCGGTGCCCCCCACCTTTTAGCAAGTTCCGCCCCTCCTCCAATGCATAAACCGAATTAATTTCTTTGTGCAATAGAAATACCTTACAGCGGTTAATTTGAGAAGACATAAACACATTTTCTATTTGTTCTGAATAAGAAACAATTCGGGCCCCTATTAAGTCGAGGCCTAGAGCAAGTTTCCCCAGCTGCCTCCCTCTCCCATTCTAGCCGCTTCTGTGTACAATATAGAGCGAATTTAGAATGTCGGGGCCACTGATGGGACGCACTTGACAGATCCAAAATATCCAACAGGTTATACTGTACTACTTCTTCGCGAGAAAGTTCTCATTACGTTTCGCGTTTTTCGTTTAATGTTCGTGCGAAATTTAATTATGACCATCCTAAGTATTTATCTAGTAAAAGATATTAACAAACTAACTCAAACAAATACAACCCTTACTATCTGATGGGCAAAGACCTGTCACAGGCATGGCAAATAACAGAACATACTGTGTCGTAGATAGTTGAGCATATACTTTTTATTTCATTGCTGCAAATTCTTCATTCATTGACATTCACACACTTCAAAATAAAATAATCATTGTAGCAAATGCTTTTTGAACACATTAGTGGTGGAAGGAGTGTTGTAGTTGATCTGCCATGACATGTCGGTCTCTCCGTACTTAAAGGGTTAAAAGTATCTTAAATACCAATAAAAACACACAGTAATTTCACATGTGTTCAAATTAAAAACATTGGTTAATCAATACCTTTAAAAATGTTTATCATTGTCCGATGCAACATCTCCCCCACACACAACTCAACATACTAGTAATCTTTTGCCGTATTAGTATCTCTTCGGAATTACACAAGCACACCAGCATATACACACTTACAGAAGCGTATTATTGGTATATGAATTTTTCACATACATGATATTAGAAAGCACCATTATAGCTTTCCATAACCAAATGTGATAGATCATTTTTTAAATTGCATTGATCAATATCACGAACAACGTAGTTTTATTAATTACATTACTTGCAGTTTTATAAATTAATATTTTCCCTACTCCTTCTTCATTCAGTGTAGACTCCTTACATTCAGCAATCATATACTCTAGTAATCTAATGGGTCTGATGTGCCTGTGAGGTAGGAGAGAGTGGGATAAAATGCCATCACTGTTCCTAGGAACACAAGTGCTAGAGGCACCAAACCACACCACAAAACCTGCAACAGAAAATTTTGGAACTTTTATTGGACAATTTTGGAACAATTACGATAACGAAATACGAAAACACACATAAGTACACTAAGCCATTTCCGACGTTTCATAAGCATTGTTAGAATTTGAGTTTTTGGCACTTATGTTTCACGGAAATTTTGAATTTATTGCTTAACTTGGTGGTCCGATGGCTATGAAGTTGGCACCACCTCAGCGAAAACAACTAAAATCATTACCGTTAGTTTGTATTCATTTATTACATTCCTTTACACCAACACCACTTACAAGTCAACGATTCTGAGATAGCTGTAAAATTTCAGTGACAAAGTACTGAAACACACGCTATAATAAATAATGTGATTGCGCCACACGCCACTAACATAGATATTGAAGCTATAATTGGTATACCTTATTTTGGAGTGTCAACAGATGGAAGCAACCAAGGGTCGCTTAAAATATCCCCTATATTAGTACTTTGATTAGAAAAGCAATGGAACCCAAACTCAAGTCATTGAAATGAAAAAGGTGCCTAATAAAACTCCTAATACTAGAAGCAATTTAATTTGTTGTTCAACAAGAAAATTCAATCTTACTTCCAAATGCATAGCATTCAGTGGCATCATGCAAATGTTAATTTTGAAGGGTTGTCAAGGAAACATGGAAGAAATGTTTTTACATCTTTGAACACCGAATTAGCCAATAATTATTTGATAGGTATTGATTGTCCTGCCCATATCCTCAACAATTGTTTGCATCATGGGTGAGACATTAAAATATGACATTGAGATGACAGTAATATAAATTTACAAATCCTTCTCAACATACACTGAGCGCACTGAGACACGCAAAGATATAGGCCAAATTTTTGAAGTTGAATACAAACAACTACTTCGACTCATCACAACAAGGTGGTTCAGCCTCTTCCCACCATAGAGAGAATATTAGGTTTGTTTTCAGCCCTTAAATCTTACTTCAATTTCCAGAAACAGATACCACAAATGATTCTTAACTTTTTTAATGATGATCTGGCTGAATCATATTTGTTTTGGTTTCCTCCTCAATGCCAGTATTTCGGAAAAAAGTTGAAGCCGTACAAAAAGAGGAAAACCCAGTTTTGAAACTGACAAATATATGCTAGAAAGTAGATTAAATGAAAAATGCATTCCTCTCACATTAAGATAATGACACTCTCACAGAAGAAGGTATCTCAGAAGTCTGATAAATCTATGGAGCAGGTTTTACAACTTTACACTCACTACATAACTAAAAGAATGAACTTTGCCTCTGGATGAGTTCGTTTGCTTTGTGTGGCAACAGTTCGAGAAGAAGAACCTCAACGACCTAAACTTCGAAATGATTCTATTCAGTCTTATTCAGCATTATTTACAGGAAGTAGAGGTATCACCATTGATGTTTAAATTCTTTGACCACTATCAGTGCTTGAACGCATTTCTTTGTGGACAAAATAAAGAAAATTTTGAGGTGTTGGTGCATGTAAAATGGGTGAATTTTTTGAAGACACTGAGACATTAAACAGTTTATCTGGACGTTTAAAGACTTGTCAATTTTATTTTGTAATTCTCGGTTCGAATTGAAGTGTTGAAAAATAATTTTCTTTATTCAATTCATATCGAATTGATGAAGTAAACTACGCATTGTGTCAAGAGAAGGCATTATTACTGTGCAGTACAATCTAAAGAATTTTAATTCCTTGCAGTTTTATAAATACATAATTTCTAAAGCAAATTTGCTGAAGAAAATTTCATCAAGTGATAAGTATTATTCAGGCAACAAAAGTCAATAAGAATGTTTTGATAATATTTATAGCATTTAACAAAGTTGCAGATCTATTTCTGCAGAGCAAAGTCTAATATGATTTTTAAAGACATTGTCTCTGCTGGGAACAAATCTGTAACCCTGATATTATGTACACATACAAACGCAATAAGCGCACATGTAAGCTCAAGGGCGAGAAAAGTATCGTCGAAGAGGATATCTTGTGACAGATATATAACTTGAGACGTTTTGCGACATTTTTTAACTATTGGCTGTAATACGAGGCGTTAAGAGTAGGAAGCGGCGCGTCGCCGAAGTGTTCACGACGATTCAAAGATGATATTTAATCATCTTTTCGAAGTTTATTTTCAGGTAAGAGCTAACAGATCAGTAACTTCAGTAACAAAAATATTTCATGTAAGCTTCAACCTGAAAAACAACCATTGTAAAACTTTCCATGCACAGTTCTTAATAAGATTTTTTTCTATATTGTGAGAAATTGCATTCCTCAACCTGAACTATTGTCCAGCATCTCCAGTATCGGGTTTTATCAATACTGCCACCTATTTTTACTCTCCCGTATATAAGTCATTCCATGTCAAATCGCAACTTACAAACATCACTATTTTTAGCGACTTGAATTTTTTATGAGGTCTGCGGTGGAAAATAGCTGACACGATTTTTTTCTTCAGACTATTGTTATTTGCGTATTCTTAATATGAAAATCTATAATTACAGAAGAAAGTGTACGTTTAGGTTGTTAGCATTCTTGAGATATTGAAAATTGTTAGAAAAATCATAAGTATGGGAAAAAAATGTTTTCAAAATTCTTTCTAGTGACGATTCAAGTGAAGATTTTTCAAGAACGTGCGAATCGACTATACTCGTTAATGCAGCAAATATACTGGGCAGTGAAAGTAATGAATAAAGGTGCTCCGCTGGTACTGATCACCCTAACGCATCACCGGATACGAGTAATAAAGAAATTGACCGAGGAAGTTCGTCTTCTGTTTCTTCTGTCGTCTTCGCCCATCGTTCGCAGTCTTCTGCTCCCTTCATGAGATAAAAATAAAACTTGACGCCTTGAGGTTTCTATGTCCAGTGTGACATTTTTAGAAAACATTCTTTCGTAGTTGAATATGTAATTCAGAGACTGCTGTGATTTAATATTTTAACTACTTTGCATTATATTGTGTTATACGTCATAGAAAGCAAAGAATTAAAAAAAAAAAAATGAGGATGTCTGAAACAGGCTATAATGCGGCCTGGGCATCTCAATAGACCTCAGCGACTCAAAACACGTAAAATTGCTAATATTTTGGGCTAAAAGTATTACAATATGGAGAATTTATAGCTACAATTGGAATTTATTCCAAAAAATTAGAATATTTCAAAATTGTGAAAACGTGGTCTAAAATAATCTGGTACAGGAGCCCTGCTTTATATACTACTATGGAGTGTTTAAAACTTTCTGAAATGAAAAGTTTTGCCCATAAAGTATTTTTTCAAACCAATTTGTGTTTATTGCCGTTCACCACTCGAAATCTTAAAGGAGTTTATTAGACAAAATATGCTTAACTCATTAACGCCCAGTTCTCTCTTGAGGACGCACATCATCTGTGAAGACGAATCAACATTTGTTGTACACCGACCTCTCCCACGGACTTAATCACAGGCATACAGCAGCTAAGCATGATTAAGTTTCGAACTGACGCAAGTCATTAATACGCCCAAGCCAGGAGTGTACAATGACTTTGCCATCTCGGCTAAATCGACATCGAGAAATGCAGGAATGAAAAATATTGCTTAGATTTTCTTTAGTCTTCGTCTATTGCAAAAATAAAAAATGAAAACGTTGGGCGTTAATGGGTTAAAGTTAACCTAAGAGCTTGATTTCTATTTTTCTTTGGACACTTTGTATATTTTGATATATTCAGAGTAATAAGTGCCACTGACATAGCTTCAGTTGGAGTCACCCGGGGCAAAACCAATGGTGTCAACCCACCTAAATTAAATATAAAAATATCAATTACTGAATAGCTTATACATTATTAATAAAAATACAAGTATATATGCACATGGCATTTCTTTAGAATAAAAAAACTATGTAATTCAGACTAATTGAAATATAGTTTTTAAATAAATAATCTTAAAATAAGAATAGCTAATTAACAAATGTATGCTATTAATAAAAGCACTTTTCGATATTCAGACTTATCTATAATTACATCAAAATTCTATACAAAATCTATAATACTTTCATCTATACAAAATCATAATAACAATATCAAAATAACAATATCATATGTACAAAATGTATAACATTTTCTAATTGGTTCCACTCCTAAAATGTTGTCACCACGGGTGGACCGCCCCCCCTGCTCCTCCCTAACTACGCTACTGATAAGTACATGAATAATTTCACACACGAGTTTAATAAGATATTATGTTCTGGAAGCACTCAGAAAGTGCTCAAGAATGAAGCTTCATTGAAATTGTCAGGTACCTGCTGATATTCCTCAGATCCTAAATAGAAGCTAAAAGAAAGAAATGGTAACGTGCGCTCACAGAAATGTAACGTTGCCAGCCAGAAAAGCACTAGCTTACATGTTACGAGAGGAGCACTCAAGATCGATGTCACCTGACCGCCAGGCATGTATTTCTGATGTATTTTTCCACCTTTCGGAGATTGAATGAGAGTTCTCACTGGTTGAGTGACCAGTGCTGGACCACTTACAATGGAATGAAGCCGAACAGTGGTAATACATGGTGTTTTGCAAAGTCATCACAAAATTTGTGTAATACAGTTAAGCGCGCACAAATCGGTACGGCGCGGACGGGATGGGACGGGATGGGACCGGCCGGAAAGGACGGCAGTTTTGATGAGAGTTGCGCAGTAAGGCCAGGAAGGGACGGATGGTCTGGAGGGAACTGACACTTCGGAGTCAGTTTGGCTCCTTGCTCCATGTCTTACATTGTGCGAGACAGCTTCGTAATGTTAAGTAAATAAGACATCGCAATTGCTTATTTTAATAACGGAAGAAGAAAATAAGGCAAGTAGTCGAAAAAGCCCAGATTCTCATCTTCGCTTTTAAATTTTACGCATTATATCCCGACCTTGCAGATTTCAATACTTTATGATGTCTCCTGATAAATTTGAAGCTCAAGAGGATATTTTGAATATATTTTGGTAAATATAAGTGTATGCAATATAACGATTTATCACACAAGTCACAAATATAATTTACATTGATTAATAAACCAATTGATCATTCCAAAATTTGAAATGATTTAATCACCGTAAACAATGTACGCAGTTCCTCTAATATATCAGGGCTTCTTATAAATATCTATAAACATTTTAAACTTGGCAAATGTTATACCTTGATAGAGTTCAACTAACCAACTAGATACATTTCCGATTGGTGGGTAAATACACTAAATAAAACTTGATATCGTGGACAATAGAGTCCTGCACGAGACAATTGTGCTCGAGCACCGCTGAAGTTCACAGAAAATCCGCAAAGCGTCAGGCCAGGAGGTCAGTGTTTCGCTCGCCGCGACCCTCCGAGCGAAATGCTCGGCCTTGAAAGCCGACAATCCGATGATGGGTACGAGGGAACAACTCGGGCTAGTCTTACGTAGAAAGGCAACGGGGATTAGGCCACAATGAGGCGCTATGTATATACGAGCTATAATTATGACTATGGCTGTATGAGCTAAAATAAAGAGATATGAGCATGGAAAAACGGGACACTTCCATTCTAATGCACGGAAATATTACACTTCAAATAATAATACAATTTTTTTCAAATTCCAATTTACTTTTTCCCGTTACTCGTTATCCCATATTTCAAACTCAAAAACGAGTCACCCATAAAAGAAGTGACGTTTGCAGAAACAGCTGAAAAGTACGGATTTTCTTGTTTTCCCGTGGAAAAAAGATATTCGTTTACATAAAAACTTCTCAAATTTGAAGAAAATCTTCGCGATTTCACAATGGGTGAAGCCTCTTTCTTTTATCCTTATTCTTTTTAGATTTCTTCTTCTGTGTTAGGGCCAGGGTCATCTCTACGTGAATGTAAAGCTTTCATAATCCTCATCAATTTGCCTTTGAAGCCACGGCACACTGTAAACGCGTGCGATCACATTGCGGACCCTCCTCTATCAACCCCTTGCGTAGTCCGAGGCTCCAATACGTGGGATTCGCTGCCGCCGTGGGCCCCGTGGTGGAAATGCATGGGCGAGTTCTTCCGGCGCATCAATTTCGACTCGTTCGTCGCAACACCAAGTTGTGTCACGAGCAACGTCACCATGGCACGGGCACTTCTTTAGAAAAGCCAGACCAGATGCCGCCATGTTGCATGGAGAGCGTGAAGTGTAGAGAAACCATTTTGAAAGTGGTAAAAAGTGAAAATTTTCAACGGTAACCAACCAACAATATCACAATGAAGGTGTACAATATGTAATATTTAAAAGAAATTCTTGATAAATCTGTTTCAATGTCTTGTAACGAGCTGATATTTTTTGGTATCTGGCTGCACTTAAAATTCCTGCTATTGTGACGTAAACGGGTGTCTGAAGCCCATTGGCTGAAGTCGGATGCGATGCGCAAGAGCCCTCCCACGTGGGCCCGTGAACCAACCCACCGCAAGCGAGCACAGGATGCTCGAGGACACGGTAGTCGAGGCCGAAATGCTCGAGCGAGTACGAGCGAGCAAGCAAAGAGCACGCATTGCAGATCTCTAATGGCAGCTCTGATCGGTGGTTTTCCTTGGTTTCTCCGATCAATACCAGGCGAATGCCGGACAAGTACCCTCACAAATAAGCACGGACCGCACGCGATCTTTCCTTCAGTTTCCTTCCTCCCCCTTCTTACTCTTATACACACACTCACGTGCACTCACTATCACACTTGTCGGGAGCTTAGAGCTTGTCCCAGGTGGGGTGGTGCCATGCGGGTTGGACATACCTGGTTCGGGAAAACCGTGCAAGCCGTTGGGCGCTGCATATCGCCATTATGCCATCCTGCGGACGAGACCACCACCTCCCGCGATAAAAGCATACTTTGTACTTAAACTAATGACCTTCGCAGTTGAGGCGCCCGGAAACCAATCAATCTCATCTAGGCATCTCCCCCAGCGGGCCAGCGACCCAGAAGAAACAAGGTCGAACTTCCCGACATGAGCGGTAGAGTAGTGCATTTCAGTGTGTGTACGGGAAGAAAAGGGGAAATAATGAGGAAGAGAATTTGCGCGCAGTTCGGGGCCTATTTGTTATGGCACTTCCCCGGAATACGCCTAATTGAGATTAGAGAAACCACGGAAAACTACAGACCTGTACAGAATTTTAAATACATGTTCCTCTCCTTGTACAAAAAGGCTATCTAGTTAAGATCTATTCAAAATTCTCCTAAAAACTATTAAAGACTGAATTTGAATTTTGCATTTGTTTAAAAAAAAAACAATTTCCAGTAGTTTTCTCAGTTATTTCACATGAGAATTGAACTTACATCACTTGAGGTTCAAGTTAATTCGATTTAGAACATTTAATTATCATCAATATAGAAAATGTCACTAACGACTTGCATATGTGTCAGCTAACAGTCAGTCAATAGTCAAATAATTTGCACTACTCAAACCCGACTTTCAATTGCTTACGATTGTGTCTGATTGTGATTGCGCTGAACTGTTTTTACTAACTAAAACACTTAGCGCAAATTGGAACGAAACGAAACATTTACAGTTTCTAAAGAAATGCAAACACAGTGGTGTGATAAATTTTGTTATAAACAGTCACAAACGCGAGCCGATGATTGTACATCTTCCTTAAAAGATGGTAATAATCAATTTTTCGGTGCACTTCCACTGACGATTTTTGTACCGGCATAATATATTCACCAAGGAGTGCATACCGTCCACAATAACCCATTTCCACTATAACATACAGCACAGGCTGAACGATGGCCAGTACATTTTACAAGTTAAAAAATTGGTGACGAACCATTATGGGAAGAAATGTTATTCAAAAGCACTGGGTAAATAGTATATCCTGGTAAACAAAAATAAATAAAAATCAAAACACGGAGAAAGCAAGTGAACAATTCACACTCGGATGTATACAATTATGTACCGACTTTTAAATGCCATTTCAAAATAAATTATGATAAATCAGACATTCATAGCTCACTAGCTTTTTTTAATCAAAACCAAGCTAAAAATAAGACTTTTACATAAAACTGTAAGTAACAAATAAATAATATATTTACCTTTCTCCAAACAGATATGTGATGTGCAACTAACGAAGCACATCAATGTCTGCAAGTTTTAAAAACTTAGAGTGAAAGTAAAGTTTACTGATGAAACACAGACAATTCAAAGAAACTGATGAACAGAAAAAAATACAGCTGCCAAAACCATAATGATAGCAATGACATAATGAACAGGCACCTGAAAAAAAGCCAAGAAAAATATAAAATAAAACATTAAAACGTAAAGCGTAAATTAAAAAAAATTGAAACTACATTATTCATGCAAAAACAAAAGAAAACTAAACAAAACAAACAACGAATGATTTTTTTATTTAATTTTTATTTAAATAATTTTTAAATCAACCATTGCAGTGTATTTCCTGACGTATTTTCATTAAATCTGTTCTGGATCGCTGGATGCTACAATTTGTTTGTGTCATGGATATTCTTTCTTTGAAAACTCATTATTCAAAAGTGCTTCATTGTTAACATATTACGTACACTTCATTAGATATAATATTTGCGGTTCTTCAAAGGCATACGATAAAAATTACTTCCAGAGTGAACGTGTTAACGAATGTGTAATAAATGATTCGCACACATTTCATAACCTCACTACAAGAGCAATTTTTACCAACTTTCATCTAACTGTTAGCAGTCAGTTAAGTGTTCCCATTTTTCACTAATAGAATTCGAATATTTTCACGGTCTCGGCGGCATTTAGGCCAGGAGTTCGGGAATTATTCCCCTGAAACGGTGCTTTCGGAATAGCCTTAATACATAATCCCTCTCGATCTCCTAGAACGAGTTAAATCGGCGCTGTTTCGAGGTGAATTTCAACACTAGGGTGAGGAAAAAGTAGGCTGGAGGCACTTCTGAAGAACAGGGAAGCTGCGAGATCACCGTTGGGCCGTTTTTCGCCACCGACTCTGACCCCAGGAACGAGGCGAGCGCCGGCGCGTTATCTTTGTGGAATTTCAATTATCGAGCCTTACACAATTATGGTCTTTTCCTCATCACAGAGTTCCTTAGCCACTTAAATATCTCGACATAATCTGGATAAGTAAATGTCTGGACCTTGTCAGTCGCAGAGAGCAATAAGCATGACTAAGCATAAGTTGCCACCCGCGTCCTCAAATTCTTAACACTTTCCTATACTAGTTTTTCCCTGCCGGCGTGAACTTGACCTATTTTCCGCGCCCTAACTGTTACCTCGTGGACTTCCCACTTTTGGCCTTGATGGTCGTGCGCTGGTCTCCGCGTCGCCGTCGCTCGGTCCCAGCTTCTGCGTCGTAAGAGACGGGATTCGCCTCTGCCGTCTACGCTGTCTTACGTCCTCTTCCGTTTTTCTTCCTAGTCGGCCTCTTCTTCTCCGTGCGCCTGGGTCCTCGGTTTCTTCTTCCTCGTCTGCTACCGGCGCCTCTGACTACGCCCACGCAGCGAAAATGTCCCTTGCACTTCGCCAAATACTCGTGCAAGTTCCTCGCTCGTTGCTACTTCTACTTTGCTAAACCAGAACTTTTAATGCTTCTTTCACAACGGGTAACTTTTACTTCCCGAGTCGTTAATTGAAGAAATACTTTACTTAATCTGCACTATCTCGCGGACGACTGACAAGAACGTCTGTTCGACGCCGAATACTCCTACCTAGAAGTCGTTGCAGCGGCAAACAATATCTAAACTAATGTTAACGAAAGTGTTGACTCGGCGAGCGGTGATCAAAATGCTACTGGCTCGGCGATCGGTGATCAAAATGCTGCTTACTCGACGAGTGGTGGCAAGAAAAGAGAGCTTCCGCTTGCAGGTTTGCGTATTTATCGTCCGACGCCTGGGGAAATTCTCCGTGGTGGGGCTGCTTCCCCTCTCTCAACCCTTCACAAGGATGACGTTGCTCGTTAGTTCGCCTTCGTTTAGTACGGGCAACGGATACCAGGCCGCGCGTTTAAGAACCTCTGCTTTACGCGCCTGCTATCCTCGCTGCCTGTGGGTGTTCATACATACGAGACGATGGTGTTATGGGGTTACACAATCCCATAACGCCACAAAATATATATATATATATATATATATATGTATGTATATATATATATAAAGAGAGAGAGGGCTCAGGGTGGCTCGAATATATGCTTCACGCCATTAAAAGAAGCGCATGGAAAGCTAGCATAAACTGCAATGTTGGTCCCCATACGCACGAGATTGAATCGGATAAGTTTGCGACGTCATCTCCTGATGTTAGGAAGCGAAAAGTATACGGACCAATGGTAAAATTCATGTGAAAAGATACGGAGCTGGAGATTACCATTGGCCATCGCATCAAAAGGAAACAAGCGAGGGACATATTTCTGTTGAGAAATCCAACAGTCTTCTGAGAATTATTGAAGCGAGCAGTCGAAAATTATTCTTCGAACGTTCGTTGAAGAGATTAGTCGAACACTTCGAAGTGTTTTAGTTTGCATAAGACGTTGCATTAGAAACTGTTATTTTCGACCAGTATGCCGCATAGTTAAAGAAAATAATCCTTGCGTAATTCCTGATGTTCGACATGGTGGGCAGAAGCCAATGTTTACAAATATGAACTGTGCATAACGTGCATAAACTACGCCACGTTTTGGTAGCCGATTTGAACAGAACTGGGTTGCGAGCGGTTTTGCTACAAAAGAAAAATTTCCTAGCGTGCAGGCGATAGCAAAAAGCTTTTAGTATCCTTTATACTTCCGTTATATTTTCATGCGTAAGGAGTAATGGACGGCAGATGTCTGCCTCTTGCGAATTATATCTACGCGAGTTTAAGTGGAAAAGATTTATACCGAACAATTGCAAAGCAAATTTGTAACTCCTAAATCAAGTAACTCGAATTATATTTGCTGACGTCATTGACTGCGGTCATCACAACTCAATCTGGTGCAGGAGAGTCAGGACACTGGGTGTGTAGTGTCCACCTTAGCAGTCACTTTAACCGCCGGTGGCTTCACGGGCCTTAGTAGCGACGGAGAACAGACCTTTCCAGCTGAAGGGTGCAGCAGCCATCCTTCCCATATGGAGAGGGAGGGTCCTTACACAGAGCCGCCGAGCGCCGGCGAAGCCTGGCATTCAAACCATATAACCTTATATGAAACCTTTCAAAAACCAAAACTCCATTTCATCCTTCGTATTACAAAACGCAGCAAAACACACAGAAGAAATCTTCCGAAATCCTATTCTCATCACTACCTTTCAAAAATACCAATAATACAACAAACGACCCTCCCACGGCCGAAAACACTTTCCAACAGACGCCAGATTCCTCACTCCTCCATAGCAATTACGTCATTTCTCCTCAAATCAGTTCACGTTTACTATAAATCCTCAATCTCCCCCTGCTAACCTCATCAAAACCCACAACTATTACCAATTCTAGCCATTAAAACCATGACATATCGTACGTTCCGAATTCGTAACAAAAAGAAAACCCCGAACAAAGTTTTCCAATGCCACATATGCTTGTCATATGAGGCAGGACTCGTTACTATAAAAGCACCCTTACACTACCACCTTTGTTTTTTGGCATAATAAAATTGTTGTATTCCAGGCCTTCTACCTGGAGTTTCATTTATAACAGTGTCTATATGTACTTACAGCATACGATTGGCTGGTAATATTGCCGAACTCTTCCTGCAGCGAAAGTAACTCTTTAGATGTTTGAGTCTTTTCATCGTTACAAATCCTGTATCGTTCTTTAACCAGTACCAATTCCTCTTCCAAAGCGGACATCTGCAAAAACATATTACATATTAATGTAAACACACACCCAATATATATATATATATATATATATATATATATATATATATATTAATCATTCCACGTCAAATCGCACACTCGCAAAACATCACAATTTTTTAGCAAGTTCCACCTCTTTCAGAAATATTACCAATTACTTTTTCCAAACAATCATGTGCGCGCTGTTTAAATTTTTTAGGCATATGTAGTTTTATTTTTCTGAAGGAAACTGTATTTAAATTTAACTTATACTTTCATGCGTAAAAAAGGTAAATATATTATTTAAATATTTAAAATATATTTTAATTTTTAAAATGCGAATTTGTACACTAGGTCCACCCTTGAATTAATTGTAAAAAAATACTCATGTATTTTTATAGTATTCTTGTATAGATCTGCCAAATTTCAATGTGGGACACACATAAATAACGTTTTTAAAAATAGTTTGTTCACCGGAGCACGTAGATAACCCGCTGCCCGCCTGACTCGCTGCTCGAACTAAGGGGCGTTAATAACACGTGCATTGCGCGTCCAACATAAAACAACCGTAAGAATTATGGCATGTTATGAATCGCAGAAACACACACACGGTCTCCAACGGAAGTCTTCTGACGAAATGCGACTATTAAGTTTATGTATAAACAACTGACACTGCTAGGGTCTGTCTGAAACAGACCAGCCTTCTTTCTCAGATATACTGAGTCCATTTTATAAAGAGAGGAATCCGCGAAACTAGTGTGTTGATCTGTTTAGTTAGTAACCACACCTAGTATAGTAATAACAATACTTTTGTTATTTGCATTTTCTTAATATGGAAATCTATAATTGCAGAAATAGTGTACGAAGTTAAGAAGTTGAAAATCTATTTGTTGCCGTCAAAAAAAGCTATGTGTATTAGAAAAACTGGTTTTCGAAATTTCTTCTCGTGACGAGTAAGGTGAAGATTTTTCGAGAAAGTGAGAATAGACCATACTAGTTAATGCAGCAAATATCTTGAGCAGTGACAATGATAAGTAAACGTGCATCGCTGGTCCTTGTCACCCTAACATATCACCCGGTACGTGTAATGAACAGACCGAGTAAGTTCTTCTGTTTCTTCTTTTGTCTTCGTCCATCGTTTGCTGTCTTCTGCTCTCTTCATGAGACAAAAATAAAATTATTCTTTCCTACTTGAAGATGTAATTCAGAGACTTGTAAATTAATGTCTAAGCTACTCTGTATCCTTCTGTGCTGTACTTCAGAGAACGCAAAGAGTTTAAAAGTAAAATCTTTTTCTGGATTCCTGAAACACGATACGAATTCAATTCACCCTCTTCAGGTGTAAACTCGCAATACTTCTCGAGTAAGATTATGACTGTGTTGACAGACATTTTTCGGATAGGGTCAGTGCCTAATATTACAAAATAATTAGAGTTAACACTTCCACAAATATGCTTTCAATGTGAGAGCTGAATGGAATTTCTTCACTTCGTAACGTCTTATGGAAAGGGACCATGCGTCTTAGGGGGGGGGAAAGCAACTATAATATTCTCGATAAAAGCTAGCCTTCAATCTTGACAGGAACATATTTATTTACACAAGAAGTTATGAAATTAGGCTGATAATGTGAAGAACATTACCTTTATATTTTTAGCAACACAGAACAATACTTCGAAAGAGGAATATTGCAACAATGATATAATAAAAAACAATAAGGCAGAAAGAGTTTCATTTCTTTACGAAAAGGTGAATTAACGATATTCTCTGTATAGTGAAGTAAAAGAAATATCAACGTAATTAATTGTATCACATATTCTTATTCGTGTAAATATTCCGTCCGTTTAATAATAAATTGAATCCACTTCACACTTTTTAATTCAAATTTAATCGGCTATGTAGATCGTACGTATGCATATTGCATATAGTAATATGTGAAAGGATATTTATATTTATTGCTCTGTGAAAGTATATGCTGTATCTGTATGCAGCAGTATCTCCTGCTGATTGGGACGTGCTTAACTCTCTAGCAGACGCTGCAGCAAAACAGCAAGTGGTCATTTCTATTTAAGTTCATTTGTATTTAATTTCTCAGAATCATCTCTTTGGACTCACCGATGTAATCAATCACCGACGTAACTTACCAAGTTATGTAGAACTTTTCAGAGATTACAAAGCATTTTTTTCGAATTTTTAAACCGTCGAGTTTAGGGAGAAATTAAAAAATAAAAATAAAAAATCAGATTTAAATATATACAAATGAAAGAGCATCGTTTGTTCTTTAATATCGCAAAATATTAAATTTCTGTTACAATTGCAAAACAAGTTAATTTTTTTACCAATTATTTATTTACACAACTACAATACATGCAACAAGTGTTAAATATAATAATATACTCACTAACAGATTTTGTGATACACTTAGTCATCGTCAGAGATCACTAAAGTTCATTTCCGGAAATACGTCATACTACAAAAGGTCAGTAGGTTTCTTTCTTCTTTTCTTTCTTTTCCCAGCTGAATCAAGAAATTTAAATGTCTCAATGACTCAGGAGACGTCGCTGTTGTTTTACTGCATACTATTTAACTTCTTGTACTGTGTTTATGTTCCAGTCACGGTCCATTTACATAAAAATTAGTGAATCGAGTGCATTGCGCACTGAATCGAGTACGTTCTGAATTTTCTTCACTTGAACTTTCCTGGCACAACCCGAAAGCTGTATGCCATACCACCATATACGTTTCAGCACTTGTTGGTATATTAGTAATTCATTATAAACGAACAACTGAGATTCTCTTCTCAATAGCCAGTACATTTTATTGATTTTCAAATGAAGTTCCGCTTTCTTTATTTTGATGTGCTCCTGCCAACGCAGCTTTGAATCAAAAGTCATACCCAAATATTTCGCTGTATTTGCTACTGGAACGACTGTGACATTGATCCAAATTATAAGTGCCTCACTTTTACGATTGGTAAAATTCACGTGATGAGAATTGGTTTCATTGAGTTCCATGCGCAATTTTTGAGCCCATTCTGCAACTTTGTTGGAATTTGTAATTTATTTGTTGCCTCTTACATATTTCTTCCAGTGTATAACAAACCGGTGTCGTCTGCAAACGTTGCTATTGTTGTTGGATGGAATGGATGGATGGATGGATGGATGGATGGATGGATGGTTGATTGGTTGATTGGTTGGTTGGTTGGTTGGTTGGTTGGTTGGTTGGTTGGTTGGTTGGTTGGTTGGTTGGTTGGTAGGTAGGTAGGTAGGTAGGTAGGTAGGTAGGTAGGTTGGTTGGTAGGTAGGTTGGTAGGTAGGTTGGTAGGTAGGTAGGTAGGTTGGTTGGTTGGTTGGTTGGTTGGTTGGTTGGTTGGTTGGTTGGTAGGTAGGTTGGTTGGTTGGTTGGTTGGTTGGTTGGTTGGTTGGTTGGTTGGTTGGTTGGTTGGTTGGATGGTTGGATGGAATGGATGTTGTTGGACGGTTGGATGTTGTTGTATGGAATATATATCTTGTGATTAGCAAATAGAAGAGGGGGGCCAGAATTCTTCCTTGGACACCTGTTTTAATTTCACGGAATGTGATAAAGGTATTTTCTTGCTTAACTCTAAAATATCTATGAGATATTTACGATTGAAATGATGATTTTGGTAGTACGTTCCTCATTTTGTATTCCAGACCACCATGCCAAACTTTATCAAAAGCCTGCACAATGTCTAAAAATATAACTGAGCATATCTTATTTTCTTCTAAACTTTTTCAATGACATCTTTTACTTCGGCACGGTATACAGTATACTTGATCGATAGTTGAATGCTTTTCTCGAAACACGAATTGATGAGAGGGGATTAGTCTTCTTTCTTCTATAATAATTTTGAGAAGCTTCAAAACTAGTTTTTCGAAAAGCTTAGAAAGCACTGGAAGCAAAGAGATGGGCCTGTTACGATGTTACTTTTTGTGGTTTTCCGGGTTAAAGGATCATGATAATCTCGGTTAATTTAAATTGCATTGGCACATATTTCAATCGAAACGCATTAAATATGTAAGTTTTATTACTCCTTTTCTGGGAAGTTCTTTTAATATTTTTCGAGTGATCAGATCATAACCAGATGTTTTTGTGGAATCAATATTAGTGTATTTCCTTTTGGACTTCTTTTGGAGTAACCTATTTTATTTCACACTGCACATCACTATCAACTAGGGTGACATCCTTATATGCTGTTTGACGGCAAAAATCTTGAAATGTATTTTCTAGGTATTCAGCAAACATTTTGGCTTTCTCCTCATTTGTTTCCCAAAGTATTTGCGCAATGGTCATCAAGTTCAAACTTTCCTTACATTTGTGCGATTTGCCGATATATATCGTATGATACTAAAGTTATAAAGTAAATATACATAATTAAGATATCTTGGGCGGCGTAGCCAGTCAGACGCACGTGTTCAAGAAAACCTTTGTTGCTCTCCATGACGAATCATGACAAGGGTGAGAAACGAGGGGGAATTGAAAGAAAGCGGGCAGCGACAACCTGAACTTCTGCTGCCACAGCAGCTATAAATTGGACATAACAATGGAACGATAGTCGATGCAGCGAACACGCGCACACATGCATGTGCAGCCGCAGCGACGTTAATCCACCTAACCAGAATTCTTGAAAATAGAGGCGATCATTGGATAATTGGTGTCACGGCGGTGATATACCGCGGTAACACGACAGGGGGCGCGAGCCAAGGTCGTGAAAGTCTTCGGACGGTAATGGCATTCGGAAAGATTCATTCGGAGGGAATTGTTCGGATTCTGATTCAGAGAGAGGGCGTTCAATTTATTTGTGCTCGGAAGTCCAAGTTGCACTCTGACAAATGCGCGGTTGAGTCGGGCTTGCACGTTATTAGACAGTCCAGGCGTCAACAGTGGCTACGAACACTTAACTAGATTCAGTTACTCTGAATATTTGAAGTACCATTGATGTCATGCCAAACGACATCGTGTCATTGCACAGTAGCGCGCTTCCGATAGCCGGC